TTGTTTAAGGAAATATTGTGAGACTAAATTAATTATTAATCTCTTACAAATCAAAATTTATTTTCTATACAAATAATTTATAATTCTACACGATTTAATTCTGCGAAAGAAAATGATTAAGCAAAGTTTATCCATATAGCTTGAATTTACAAAAAGAAGTGCTACTCTATGATATCATTTGTTCGTTTACAATAATATCTGCCTCGTATAATTACGGATCTCCCATGCACGGAAAATGAATTAAGATGACAATTTCGAGTTAATCGGTGACCTCAAAGCAGAACTGAATAGGCCACAGGGTCACTTGTTCACGGCCTGCTTGCATCGGTTCAACATTCAGATACCATCAAATAGAACTCATTATACCATTCAGCGTTGGAGGGTATAAATAATTCCTGTAATTCCTAGGTAGAGTGCTTGTGACTTAAACGGTAAAAATCATTCGACCACGTTATATGAATAGCTGCAATGGTTTCAGCGTTTGTTACTTTACGCATTATGCAACTGGCACACTGCAGTAATATACAAGAATAGTACACGCATAAAAGTCACGTAAATCGAACTCAATTCTGGAAATGATTTCAAGTCTTGCAATTACATTTATTGTCAATTCTGTACCAATGTTGTGTACTTTCGGTTATTTCTTTTGTGTTTGTTATTTGAAAATATCGAAGTTCTTCATTCTATGAAATGATTCATGTGAATCAGTTTCCTTTTAATACTTGCAACATATTATTATTTTTTATCTTGATTATATTAGTGGAGGAATGTCAAAAGTTCGTCAAAATCAACATCCATTGTTTCAAAATGTACAATTAGACTGTAGATAGACTGACAATTAGACAAGTTATATATTTTTAGTAGATTTTAGACTAGTAATAATTATCAATCTGATTGATCAATAAGAAACTAAAATACATCACAAATAGTTTAAGTGGAAAAACATGAAATATCAATCTGATTGATCAATAAGAAACTAAAATACATCACAAATAGTTTAAGTGGAAAAACATGAAATATCAATCTGATTGATCAATAAGAAACTAAAATACATCACAAATAGTTTAAGTGGAAAAATATGAAATATCAATATAATATTTAATTATTGGTCTCCTCATGTTAACTGTGACGTATTTAGAATATGCTTACGTATTTCTATTTAATCCACGATTGAATTTTTCTTGTTAAGTTTTTATTTTTACATAAGT